TTTTCAGACAAATGGAATGTACTGTTTTTACTGGGCATCTCTTTCACTACTACTTAGAGGCTTGCTGTGCCAACCATAGACCAAATAAGTTTTATAGCCTCATTCTTTGACTATAAAGAAGACTTTTTAGGCCAAGACAGTGGTTGAGGAAAGCCCATGGATGTTCCACTGCCATAAAATCAAGGAACTTCAGGGCCTTCTCTAAAGCACACTACCTTAGCAGACAAGCATAATTTCTCTGTACTTGCTCAACACTGAGATTTTTTTTGGTGAGAGACAGAAGTAGAATAGGAATGAGATGCAGTAGCATACTACTTCAGACACATGGGACTCTCTAAGGTTCCAGTGCTTTTGTGGTGATTTGCTTGGGTTTTTTAATTAAGCTATTTGTGGGCAGGAAAGAAACCCTGGACGTGGCCCAGCCCCCAGGCTGTTTGGAAGGTGGTTTTGTTTTGGTTTTGGGGTGTGTGTTTGTAGTTTTGGTTTTTGTTTGTTGATTTGTTTGGGTTTTTTTCTGTCTGTGGATGAAGCAATTCAAGAAATAATTCAGGGAAATCTCTGAGCAGTGTAAAATGTCTTCTGATGCAGGTTGTATTGTGCTAAACTCTCTGAGAGTATTTATTTTTTGTGTGACCTAAAAGCAGAAGACTGCATAATATTTAAACCATTTCCAAAATTACTGATATTCAAGTGTTCTTCTGGGTTTATTCTGAACCACAATGAGGGAGCATGTACAAGTGTGGCATAAACAATGTGAATGTCTCAAGCTGTCCTTCATGGACTGTGCTTGAAGTCAAGCTGTGGAGGTGTGTGGCCTGAGGACGAGCATGTGGAGTGATTGTAGCATTCTGAAAAATGGTGTGAGAATAGATTTTGTTACTTCATCCTTGTGATTCTTGACATTATTTCAGCAGTTTTCAGGAGCGTGTGAAGATCTTTCTCACAAGGTGTTGCAACAAACACACTTACTATATTTTATTTGCATTCCTGATTGCTTGTTGCGTTTATATTTTCTAGTTGGTGAAAGTAGACTTCCTTTGCTTGTAGTCCATTATATTCCTTATCTGCCCTTGAAAACAGTCCTCCTGAAAACTCTGGACTTCAGAAATCCAGCTTGAGCTTTATCAGGAGTGTCTTTTGGTACTCTGTAGGTAATTTCAGATGTATTCTAGAAATCTTAAAATGGTTAAGAGGCAGGAGAATAGCAGAGCTGCATGAGTGTTTATGAAATTTTGCTTCATAAATTAAAGATAATTTTTTTAAGTTGCTCAGGGGTTCAGATGAGAATACTGTGCTGCTTTGTCCTGAGGCTATCTTAAAATGGTTTGCTATGAAATTGTGCATCTGGGGAAATCCTGAGCCTTCTCTAGAGTTCTGTGGGGAGGTTTCCAATTTGTTCAGCTGGAATTCAGTGCAGTTTTTGCTATTGACATTAATTTCTTCCAGAGACAATTACAGAAGGGAGATACCAAACTGATGAATTGGCTTGGTAGCCATTAATGAGATGCAGCTTAGGGTTTTGACTCCTGATGTATCTCTGATCAAAGAGTGTAGTAACTTTGGGTGGACTCTGAGAAATCTAAAAGTAGTATTTGCATGAAAAGCAGTGCTGCACATCTGAAGCCTGTTTCAGGATTATTTTTGTTTTCGGTTTGGTTTTAATGCAAGTACAAAGTAGTGGATGGAAGAGTGAGTAGACTGAGGGTTCATTTTCTGGTTAGCTGTGTTTATTTTATTAGTCAAATGCAAAATAAGGAGCTCTGGACTTGCTGTGTGGCTGACTACGTATGGCAGGCCCTCTGGGGGACAAGGCACCATTTTCCTCTTAACAGGACTGATATTGCACCTATTTAAGCCAAGAGTCTTCTCAGGGGACAGAAAGTGTTCAGAGGCACTGTACACTTTGATGATACAAAGAATGAGCCAGGAGCTACTGAAACCAGTTCCATCATTCTCTTCAAAAGCATCAGAACTTGTGCCATAGGCATACTGAGCCCTGCCCCAGCTCCAAAAGGAAGGAGTGAGTAGCATAAAATGGTCACTTAGAAGTTCACATGTGCTACAAAGCTTAACCTTCCCCAACCCCAATAACCTCACATGTATTGAATGATAATGCTAGGATTGGTCTACAACCAGTGCTTCTTTCTCCTGCAAACCACAGGGAAAAAGAACAACTAACTGGCAGTGCAAAGTACTCTATGGCCTAATGCTGCTGCTTCTGTACATGGAAGGGGATTGAGGGAAAACTGCTGCACCTGTTGGTACAAAGATGCATTAAATACTCCAGCTTCTGCTTGCCTTGTGTCACTTTCCTGTGGATTGCAGACTTTAAATGTATTACCAGTGCATGAGCTGACTTCTGCAAAATAGCAGGAGTTTGGCTGTGCAGTGTCTTTGAAGTAGTGCAGTTCTTAATGCACATTTCCAAGCACTACAATAATGTCAGGTCAAGGTAAGCCATTACTGAAAACTTGCAAGAAACTGCAGGTTCCCAGAAACAAAAATGTGGTGTTGAAAAAATATTTTTCCCTTCTTTTGACTTAAAATACAGGTACAGATGAATCTTGGTTTTCAGGCTCTTATGGTACTGTCATTCCAACAGTCTACAAGTTGTCCAGAGTTGCAGAATATGTGAGAGAGGATAGGGGAACAGTTCCAGCTACTGTTTGTAAAATATGTAATAGTTAAAGAGGAAACTGTGTGGGTGCATGTTCCGTTACATGCACCTGCCAGCTTCTCAAATTTCATTTTGCTGTAAGTGTTAAACAGTCCCTTTGAGGAATGGAAGTGGAATAAAACAACGTGATCGAATATTTAATAATTTATGCTGTGTAGAACATGTGTACAGATTGACCTTGGTTTTCTTCTCTCACTTTGGTATAAAGCTGTGAGCCTAAGAATGAAACTTTACACAGCAAAAGAAGAAAAAAGAAGAGAAAAAAAAAATAAAAGCTCTTTATATTGTTATCATTTGTCAGTCTGGTTCTTCTTTCTTTTGAACTGAATGATTCTTTCACTGGGTTTAGTAGAACTTTGTTCTGGATTTTTTTCTGTTTTTAGGAGGGCTGGATAAAATCAGACAGGATACTTCGAAGATCCAGCACTGGCAGCAGTGTTGCAAGTTTTTGCTCCTGGTTGGTAGCAATCTCAGATCTAGTTGTTTGGCAGGGAAAATGGCAACTGTCTGTCCAGGTCATGCCTCCAAGGTGATGTACTGACTCCATTGCTTCATGCCCTTTTGCAAAGGGAAGTTCTCTAGAGCTGTTGGGTAGTTCACTCACCAGGACTTAAGGACTATTTTGAGTTGCCAATAAAAAATCTTTATTTTGGTCTTTTGACTGATAGATTTTATTTTTCTCTGAACATAAGAAGTAAGAGCATCTCTGCCATATTTTTTGCATGGAAAATAATAGCTTAGTGGAGATAACATGTGACTAGAACCCAGTGCTTGTAGTGCTACAGTCATCTGAAAAATGCGATTTGGGTTAAACCAAAAGTTTAATTTGAAGGAGAACTTTTCTTTAGATGAACTATAATATTTCCTTGCTTTTTCAGAGTGAGACAACATTATGAACTTTATAGTAAAAAGGTTTTCTTAGTGACCTTTCAGTTAAATGTGCCACTTACCAGAAAAACCTGAGTGGATGCTGTGAATTGTTTTTACAATTTTTTCTTACAATAGTGCATTGTTTTGTTGCTTTTCACCAGCAGAGAACTAAGTAGAAGGTTCTCCTGAGAAGTCTGGTCTCTTCACACCTTTTGCTGCACGTTTTGTTTTTCCTTCTGTTTTTATATTGATCAACAGTTGTCCATTTCTGAAAGCCTGTCATCCTTAAAGCTGGTAAATGATAAAGCCTCCCAAGCTCAGGTGTTTTTGGTTGGTTTTTTTTTTTTAATGCATTCAAATGTTGGAGATACTAAGCAGTTTTCACACTTGCCATAAAACTCCAAAAGCTGCTGTATATTCTGAAGGATGGTGGAATACTGCTCAATGTTTCATCCTTCTTTCAAAATAAAACCAAAAATCAACCTTAAAGATGAGGCCAAAATCAAGTTGGTTTTCTTCTCAGTTCAGTTAAACTAGTTGTATTTACACATTCTAATAAATCTTCCTCAAGTGGTCATGCTAACATAGTCTGATTCTGCTACAAGCCACCTCATACAATAAAGAAACAGACAATACTGTTAGGAAGTAGGGCTCAGGGGAGGGGGGAACTGTGCATGTAGATACATACATTTGTATGTGTAAGAGGTTTTCTGTCTCAAATGGTAAACAGCTTTCTCAGTGTTAGAATGTCATTACATTGGCTATTTTAAATGTTTTTATTGTATAATTAAGATAGTATGGGGGTACTAAAAATGACAGCAAATTGCTCATTCTTATACTTTTGCTGAGGCACTTGACTAAGATGTACCTGGGCATTGCAGTATATTGTGCCTTACTACACCTTGCTAGTACAGCCACATCTATAGCAATGTGTTTGGGTTGCATAATATTACTGTCATAGAGGACAATCTCATGTGAAATGTTCAGTAAACATTATGAAGAGGCTGAAATGATAAAAGCAGGACAAAGTGTTAATGACTAATGACAAGGTAGTGGTAAACAGCTCTGACTTTGACAGTTCAAATACAGTCCCAGCTTTGCCTGATTTGAGGGAAGACACTTCCAGTTGTCAGCATAAGCAGAATAATGATGCATGCTCCATGTCTTTACCATGCAGAAAAAGCTTACTTCGGTCATCAATAAATTAATCCTTGTAGCACAAATGAAACTGTCAGGAAGTTATAAAAGTAGTTGGAGAATATGCTCACTGGGCTCCCTACTGAAGCGTTGTCATCTCTTTCTCCAAGGGCTTCTTCCCACGCACTGTTTATCTTGGCAAGCAAAGCACATAACTGGGAAATGCTCCTGTTTGCACTTGGGGATGAATGGAGTTAATTATTCACACCAGAATTCTTGAGTCTGTTCTTGATGAAGGTGGCCACTGGCTCCAGTATTATGCATACATTGTGAGCTGCAGCCACTGGAAGAAGAGTTAAGATTAAAGGATGGAAGACTTGTTGGCATCCTCCAACACCACCATCTGTAGCTGAAAGGTGGCTGCTTGCATAGTCAGAGTGGGGAATTTTGCCTTAGGCTTCTTGCTTCTATTCTTCCTTGCAAGAAGTGAAGGGGGTTTTTTTATGGTCTCCCTAGCAGAAGATGTGCTTCTAAGTTGAAAATTTCTAAGTCTTCTTATTAAGATTTTTAAAAGGTAAGGAACTATGTTAAACGCCATGATCAGTTAACACTGTGTTTTGTTTAAATTGCCTCAAAAAACCCAAAAGAACTAGAAAGTTTTTTTGAAGCACTTTAAAGATGGTGTAAAGAATCCACAGCTGTGACCTTCAGCACCAGAGCAGCTGTTGCTGGAGATCATGGATACAGGTGTTTTCCATATATAATTGGTAGTTCTTGGGAACACATGCAATGAATAATGCAATTAAAATGTAGTACTGTGACATTGTATTAGAAATACTGGTGTAAAGCAGTTTACCTCTAGGACATTGAGCTTAATGATGCCGTCTCCATCTTTATCAAAGGCATGGAATGCTCCTGAAGCAAAGAAACAAAAATACATGCAACAGATTAAAGTACTGTGTGTGTAAAGATGATCCCATAGAGCAAACCAAATTGTGTTCCTACTGTGTTAAGCAGACTTGTGCAGGCAGATGTTTACTTACATGGTCAGCAAGTATTTCAGCTGTTTTTCCTTAGCTAATACAAAGAGAAATGAATGGCTTCCTTTCTGTTTGTATGGGATGGCTGTCACATTAGATTCCCACACACACAGATGATTACAACTACAGGCAGACAGCAGTGGTGTGGGTGTGAAGGTGTGTTTTTGGGGCAAGGAGGGGGGCAGCCACTCACTGAACATGGCGTCCAGGCGCACGAAGCAGCAGATGAAGCTGTCGAAGTCAATGTTCATGTTCTTGTCGGCGTACCGCATGGTGATGATGTCGTAGAGCTGGTTGTTCAGCCGAAACCCTGCAGAGGACCAGAAAAGGGGCACAGCTGGGCTGAGGGCAGGGGAAGCAAGCCCTGGAGCTGGTCAGGCCCCAAGGAGAGGTTTGGCTGTAGGGGATTCCCAGGCCCACCTGGGAGCTGGAGGGTACTGCTGCAGCCACTCAATAAGGTGAAGTAAAGCTGTAATGAGCTTCCCTGTGCCCAGCTGCTTTCTTAAAACAGGAGTCACGTTTTGAAATTACAATTTGGGAGTGCCAATAGTGTGTGAGTTACCTCATGCTGTAAACAGGGAGAGGTCTACACCAAAGACTTCGCATTTTAGCAGAGTCTGATATGAGCGAAGCAACAAAAACTGTGACAGAAACATAGGAGGAAATTGCTGTGAAAACATGATTACACAATTGTAAAAAAAATAGATAAGGAGGCAACACCTCAGTGTGGTGTTGCCAAACTGGCACAGGCTGCTGCAGCGTGTGGCCGTGCTTCGTAATGGGTCTGGTGGGATCTGGGTACTGCTGGTTGTTGGCTAAAGGCAAGGTCAGGCACTGCCTACTGCCTACAGCCTGCTGTAAGGCTGAGAGCCGTATTTCTACTGCAGCAGGAGTCCAAATCCAGGTGTACTTTTCTCCATAGCAAAGGATCAAATTACTGATGTTTTATGAAGTACAGGATAGCCATCTCTTTCCC